TTGTGGGCCACACGAATAGGCAAACACTAATGAAAGTTAGTGAGCTTAAAAAAGCTGTCGTGTATAATTTCATGATATTGTCACCATAGATAAATCAAAATATTCTCGTAAAATGACCCTGTTCAGAGACGCAGCGCTCAGGCAGGAGGCTGACAGCTGGCGACTGGGCTGGCTAATAAGATCTGAGTGTGAACAAATCAGCTGACACACCACCATTCTTCTCATGGCTCTTTGTTCTTCATTAAATGTTCTTCCCAAAAGTTCTCTCTCAAAAGCTCACTTTGGAATTTCTCCTCAAAAGGTCTTCTTAAGAAATTCTCCTAGAGTTCTTTTAAAAAAAAATCCTCCTTAAAAATTCTCATAGATCTCTGAGCCGGGTGGTGGTGGTGCACACCTTTAATCCCAGCTCTCGAAAGGCAGAGGCAGGCAGCTCTCTGTGATTTCGAGGCCAGCCTGGTCTATGGAGCAAGTGCCAGGACAGCCTCCAAGGCAATACAGAGAAACCCTGTCTCGAAAAACCAAACAACAACAAATTCTCATAGATCTCATAAGGTTTCCAGTTTATATATCCACAGACACAATTGGCGATTCTCTGACAGCATCAAGATACCAGCATTACTCAGAGCCAGGAAGGCAGATAAGGTCTTACAAAAGTAGGACATCTTATGTCTCAGAGAGGAGACACAACTTGTAAAACATCCAGGCAAACTTAAGTCTCAGAGGGACGTGACTTGTAAAACAAGCCATTAACTGATTAAAAGGGACTTCTCAGCCCTGTATAAAAGGGAAAAACTCAGGCTCTGTAGTGTGAAGCCCAGAGGCTGCTGGTCTTACTGCTGACACCCAGTGAGAAGGACTTCCTCTCTCTGGGGCCTTTTTGAGAATATAAAGCACCCAGTATATTTTCTCCATCAGAAGTTAATTCTGGTGGGTTATTACCTAGAATATTAATGGCTACTTTTGTAATAAATGATAAAGGCTCTCAGCAAGGCAGTCTCAAAATTGTTCAGTAGGTATCATTTGGGATCACCAATAAAGAGAAAGAACATATTTAAGAAATAACATGTGATTGATTTTGTTATTATTCTTATTATAAAAGAGGGCAACACAGAATGGTCAGAGAGTGGGCTATCTGACGCTGCGTTTGAGATCTTACTTCATCCATATGTGATTGGATGGAAGTGGTTACCATGCTCAGTGAGTTCTAAAGTGCTTGTCAGGTGTTTCACAGTTTCACTTAGTTGTTCCATTTTTGAAACAGTTGCTCACAATTTTTAGTGTCATAAAAGCAAAGAGAAGGGGCGTGGCCGTCAGCAGCCTGTTCTGAAGGATGGCGGCGGCGCTCCCGTGAGCGGGTCTGGGGTCCAGCCGGCGGCCGGAAGGTGCAGCGCCATGAAGCTGTACAGCCTCAGAGTCCTTTACAAAAGCGAGCTCAAAGCAGTGCTGCTCAAAGCCGCGTTCGACGTATCTTCCTTCAGTTTCTTCTAGAGGTCCAGTGTTAGGAATTGATGACCTTTACAAGTCAACTGATTGTGGAACCATCGGCAAAAGGCAGCAGAGCCTCTGTCAAGGAACAATATCTTTGCCATGTCTACATCCGGAGTGACCGTCTTGCAGGTGTGGTCACAGCTGACAGAATGGCCTTTACCTTGCTGGAGAAGGTACTAGATGAATTCTCCAAACAGGTGGATAGGACAGACTGGCCAGTAGGATCACCTGCTACAATCCAGTACACAGCCCTGGACGGTCACCTTAGTAGATACCAGAACCCCCCAGAAGCTGACCCCATGAGCAAAGTACAAGCTGAACTGGAGGAGACCAAATCATTCTGCATAACACCATGGAGTCTTTGTTAGAGCGAGGTGAGAAGCTCGATGACTTGGTGTCCAAATCAGAAGTACTGGGAACACAGTCGAAAGCCTTCTGTAAAACTGTCCGGAAACAAAACTTAAGCTGTGCAATCATGTGATGTAGCCCCCAGAGGCAGGCGCTGGACTGTCATGTCACACCAGAGCTACAGCCCCTGGAGATGAAGCGATACCCTTCAAGAAGATCTGGAGCCAGACAGACTGGCAGCTTTTACTTTGAAGTTCTTAAGAGGAATGGAGGGGGTGGGAACATTGACGTTCCTATGTGTGGCTGTGACTTTGGGTAAGAATTTGAGGTCCTCAAAGATGTAATGTTGGGAAAATGAAACCATAAACTCTAAGTGACTCTTAGAGGTGCTGAAGGGCTCATTCTCAGCTAACCCTGGAAGGCTCTATGGGAGGGAATCTTTCCTGATCCTTGGTATGACTTAGGATTTCATTTGTGCGTTAACTCTCCAGTGGAATGGGGTCAGGGAGGGGTCTCGGATGATAGGGCTGGGGTAGGCAGAGTTTGAACACTCCAGAATTCTATTCTCTGCACTGTGGGGGTTGGGGGAAGCTCACCAGGACCATCATCAGGACTGTAAAATGCAGTGGTCACTGGGTATCCCCTGTTTGGCTTGCCTGTCTGCTAGAGTTGGCATCTGCCAGGGACAGGGCCCATCCTAAATATCTTCATCTAGTACCATGAAAACGACTTATGGGAAGCAGACACAGGTGCCCTCAGCTATCCAGTGTGGAGGCATGTCGCGCCCACCTCGACCAGCAAGGAAGATGCAACGCCCAGACTCTTCTTTAAGCAGTTTATTCAGGAACCTTGAACAATCTTCTTCTCCCGGGGAGCGCCAACCCACACCTTAAAAGCCCTTGGGCGGCCAACCCCAGTATGCCATGTGGAGCATGCAGATAGGTCCACGTACACAGAAGCAAGCCTGATAGCCAGCCTTAACCAAATACAGGTGTTGTTTATCACAGAGATCACCTGCTGTCGGGCTAGCAGCATGTGGAAGCCAGCGTCATCTTAAGGATGCAGCACTTCGCAGCTCTCTACAGAGGCACACTCACCTTGACTTGCAGTCTGACTTTGGACATCAAGATCAAAGTAGTGGGTGCCATCATCTTTCAAGGATGGTTTTATTTGCCTTTGTCTACAAGGCTGCCTTGGCAACTGCTTAGGGCCTGCATGTTTGAACAAGTCACTCCTGTAGAGTTCAGGAGAGGTTCCAGCAGCCTGAAGATTCCCAGCATCCACCTGTGGTCTGTCTAGCTCTGGCCTACAAGCCCTTCCCAGTCAGAGACGGCTGCAGGGTACGGCATGTTGAGGGGTTGGTCTGAGCTAGCACCCACTGCCAGCACAGTCTGTGTGGTGAGCCCAGGATGTGCTGGGTCCCACATTGTCTTTTCATATTCTTCTATGCAGAGTCTATTGTGAGATCCTGTCTCCCAGAAACAACTACTGGTATGCTAGCCTCTGAGTTTTGCACTAGAGTTGGCTTACTCTGATGCTCCCTGACCTGAGCCTGTTGAGCTACCCTTAGAGTACCCATAGAGGGAGGGGGATGTCTACTAAGGCTTCCAAAATTCTTACTTATTGGTATATCTGCCTATTTCTCTGGGTACTGGTAGCCAAAGGGCTCAGGCTTCCCCTGGAGCGGCCAGCCCATATAATATTCCTGCTGCCACAGACCTCTCCATCCCAGGGTCCCTGATCCAGTTTGTGGCTGGCACTAGAGGTGGAATAAGTGGCCTGGAGTGCTGCCTGTTTTTCTTCTTGCTCTGGAGGGTGCTGGGGAAGAGTGGGGTGTGTGGAGGTGGACGTTTGTGGGACAGAGACAACCTTTGCCCACACACGACTGTCCCACAGGGAATCATCCCAGAGATGGACAGACCACAGGTGGACGCCCCATCTTCCCTCTATTATATTCTAATGTTAAATCACTTGGCGAAAGTGTATTTTAATAATGCCTACTTTCTGTTCTGTTTGAAGGTTTCTGTCTAGATAAAACTGTCTTTTGAAATTCCTTAAAAAAAAAAAAGCAAAGAGAAGAGTGCCGTGTGACTATGAAGTAAGAGATACATGTTTCTTGGAAGACATGACCTGTAGGAATCCAGGAAAGAAACGCAATCAAGTTTTTCCTTTAGTTGGACGGCTGCCTGCAGCTCTGTGCAGTCTGTTTGCAACTGGGAGACAGCATATCTGCATCGGCTGAAAAATAGAGTCGGAAATTTACCAAAATAGCTTTCAGGAAATCTGGAAATTTGCTTCACATTCTTCAATTTTACTTGTTCATTTTATTTTATGTGTTTGGATGTTTTGACTGCATGCATGCATGTGTACCACGTGTATGCCTGGTGCCCTTGGAGGTCAAAAGAGAGCACAGGACCACATGGTTATGAGCTACCATGTGGGTGCTGGGAATTGAACCCAGATTCTCCGAAAGAAAAATGAGTCCTCTAAACAGCTTAGCCTTCTCTCCAGGCTCTGATCTTCTTCTATGAAATAAATAAGCCACACATTTCTTGCTGTTGACAAGAGCCATGTTAATGAATGTGTCTAAAGGCACAAAATTGTTTGCCGTAATTTGAGAGCGCCATCATTTCACTCCCATTTGAAATTCTGTTATGATTTGAAACATTGTATTAATAAGTTGGGTTTCACTTTAAAGGCAATATAACCCATTTAAATGGTGAGTGACATTTACTAAGGATGCTAAATCTCTATGGTAGTTTTCATAATCAAGTTGTGGCATAAATTCAGTTTGGAGACCATAAACAACTTGATAACACGTCTCAAATGATAAAATTCCTTTTTATCATTTGGCTTTAACTTAGTCATCCTATTTCTGGAAAGTCAATGATGTTGCTCTAGTCAGCATCAATGTTTTCAAAGAATTTCCAGTATTGCTAATTGCCTATCCTTTATAGAACCCATGGTTTTCATGATTTGAATAACATACATTTGTAATGTTTTTGTGCACAAAATTTCTTGATATGCTGTGTAATGATGCTTCATTAAATGTGAGTTCAGAGTGGCATTTGCACCATCTATTAACGTTTACAAATGTGTCTCCCTCTTTACCTACCATTAATGGGGCATCAGCTATAACAGATGTTGATAACGGACAAAGAAAATGGGTTTAACATGCTTTACTGCTTCATATAAGTTTCTTGATATAGTTGTGCCTTTTAGGGCACTAAACAAACTAATTTTGAATGACATTGCATTTTTCACAAAGGCAATAATAAACAAAATAAATGAAAATGAAAATTGGCAAGGAAATAGAAAGCAAGGATTGGGTTCTTTGACATTTCAGATGTCTGTGTAGAGAGAAGTCGAGAGCCGATTAAGGCACTGTGGGTGAGGCATGACTTGTCTCTAAGGTTTGGGGTACTTAATAATTAAGGATACTTAACTAGGACTGGAGAGATGGCTCAAAGGTTAGGAGCACTGGCTGCTCTTCCAGAGGTACTGAGTTCAATTCCTGACAACCACATAGTGGCTCACAACCATCTATAATGAGATCTGGTGCCCTCTTCTGGTATGTAGCATACATGCAGGCAGAACACTGTATACATAATAAATAAATCTTTAAAAAAGGAATATTAACCCGTTTTCTAAACACACACACAGCTCTCTTTTTTAAAGGGAATACAAGATAATTTATTCTGGAGCAATGCTGAGTGCCTGGGAACACAGATTTAGATTATTCCAAATTCTATGTTCCAATGGGGAAGCAGTTTCATAGTTTTACAGAGCAAAGTCATGAATCAAGGAAAGTTTAAAATACATTGGTGGATACACCAAGAGGTGGTTACAACAAGAGGAGGAAACTTTTCTTCAGGTCCAAGACGCTATCTGGTGACAGTCTTTGGTTTGGGGCAGGTGGAAGCCAGTGGTTGGCTAAGTTAATAGAGTCCAAAGATCTCAGACAAAGAGGTGGACAAGTAGCTAAAGCTAGCTCAAGATAAGGTAATTAACCTCTGGAGAGATAGCTAACTAACCTCTGCTGTCACAACTTCTTTCCAGGAATTTTAAAAAATATTTGATCATTTTATGTGCATTGGCGTTTTGCCTGCATGCATGTCTGTGTGAGGGTCTCAGATCCTCTAGAACTGGAATCACAGACAGTTGTGAGCAGCCAGGTGGGTGCTGGGAATCGAACCAGTGCTCTTAACCACGGAGCCATCTCTCCAGCCCTTTCCAGGAGCGCTTGTTCACACACCCATTGCATGCAATAAAACAGCATTTCACGTTAAGCACGGGTCACACCAGATGATGTCAAATCATCTGCCCGTACACTGGAGACCGGACATTACAATAACACTGAAGACACACGTGTGCGCCAACACCGAGAGCACACATATGCTTATTCTGTGTGGCATTGTGACATGACATTGTGTAGCTGGTTTTTACTCTTTTCTCTTTTGAGGGGTTTATTCTTGCTTATAAGTGTCAGCTCTTTATTAGCCCATCAGGTGTTTTAGACATGCAAAGAAGCACAGCTTCACAGACGCAACAGAAACAAAAGCCGCACATCTTTACATCATTAATCAAATGTTCCATGGCATAAACAAAAGTAACACGCCTTAAACTACTGCTCCACGACATTGTCACCTGCAAAGTCTACACTCCAGAATCTACCAATTAAGTTAAAAAAAAAAAAGATCGCGGTGTTCTCATCGTGCTTTTACACCGAGGGTCTTGTGGGCCGCACTCCTAGCTTCCTAGGTTGGACAGCCTTCGCTCGCATCAAGCCACACTGTCGTGAGAGTAGCTGTCGTTTGGCGTTTGGGGCTGTGCCATGCTCGCGTCGCCTCATTGGTATTCCGGCTCTCTTTCTCTTCTCCCTCGGGCCGGTCTTCTTCTGCCTGCAGCAGCTGGGGGCAGCGCTTCTCAACTTTAAAGTGCAAAGGGCGGATTCTGGTGAGGGCGCCTCACTCCTGCTGCGTCCGGGGTTGTTGCTGCCCTCTGACACACTCTGGGTGTAGAGCTGGGGAAGGAATGCAAGTGCAGGCTTTGGAGACGGAGTCCTGGGCTCAAATGTGAATCCTTTCTTTTACTTGAGTGTGCCCGAGGGCTGGGACAACCTTACCTGTAGTAAAATCGGCAGCTTCCCTCAGCTTCTACGCCAGAGTCCGCTCAAGGAGCCTAGCCAGAGCGCCGACGTCTCTGTGGGGCGGGACTAAAACCGGGGGCGGTGCGCCGTGGCGGTGCGCATGCGCCGTCGGGGTGCGCAGGCGTCAGGTAAGGGGCTGGCTGTGTGTACTTCGCGGTCGGGTCTCCAGCGTGGGTCACGTGGGGTCTTTGTGACATTCTCGGGTCCGTGGAAGACCCTCGAGCGAGACTGTCCCGCGGGAAGCAGGGGCGCGGGGGCGCGGGGCGGGGTCGAGCGTTTCCGGGTCGCCGAGCGTCGCGGCGCCCGCTGGGACCCCGGGCCCCGCGTGGGGCCAGGCGCTCGCTGTGGGAGCCGAGCAGCGCCGCCCGTACCCCGGGAGGACACGCAGGGCTGCATCGCCTGCGCCCGGCCGGCTTCCCTTCCCCCGGGTCGGCCCCAGAGGACACGCAGGGCTGCTGCACCTGCCTTTCCACCTGTGCGAGAAGGCCGGGTAGTCTTGGTCTCCCGGGGCCGTCTTGTCTGGACAGGCATGCCCCGGGAGACTAATGGGGCTTTGTTATTAAGTAGAACCCTTCGGAAGCGCAGGGCCTCCGAGTGTAATCCCCCCTCCCTCTCTCATTCATTACATAGCGTTTTTTGAACTGTTTGAAACCTTAGCATCACTCTCTTCCAATCAGAAAAGACTTTGCTCAGATTGAGCTATGGAAGGTGACGGGCAGGAGTACCCTCGCCCCAGCCCTGGGACATTGCAAACAACCCAGAGAACTGACTATGACTGTCAATGATGCACAGCATCGGGACTAGAGAAGACAACTGTCCTTCCTGCCCTACCCCCAGTTTATATGTGAATTTATTTGCTTCGTTTTTAAATTATTAAAATGAAAAAGGAACGTTGGAGGCGGTACACTGAGTCACAAGCTAATCCTGACAGTATTCAATTACCTTCACTCTTAGGCCCCTTGGAAGGGAGGCGAAGGCAGACGGAGGAACTGGCTGACTATGAACATTATACAACAGCCCGTCTCAGTATTGAGCAGACAGTGGGAAAATACAGATAGAGATGAAAAGATTAGTGGTTCTTCTTGATTTGAGGGTTTAGGGAAGCAGGGTAAAAACTGGGCTACCTTTTATATTTTCAGCAAGTAAAATTCTTATTTGCTGTGTACCTTTCTACAAAGATACATCTCTGAGTGTTGGAGACTGAACTCGGGTCTCATGCTAAAAGCTCACACATTTCCATACAGGGAGGGAGGATTTCAGTCGTAGTTTTGGCTTTTACTGGGGCATCACCCAGTCAGATACCCCATCATGGACTGGAGTCTTGTATAAAAACTGGAATGACTTCAAAGGGGCAAATTGCTGGGGTGCCCACTCTAGGCTTACTGAGTCAGAATCTAGGGTTTAGGGATGTGCACTCCTTTGGGGATGGTACAGTTGCAGTGTTCCAACAGTCAGAAGAGACGGGCCTGAGGGACAAGACCCGATTAGGCTGTCTGGTTTTGAATCCATCTAGGAAAGGCATGAACTGTGGCGTCATTTAACAAAATAACCTTCCTCTTGTGAAGGACAGTTTCCAAAGGGGTCTTCAAATGCTGTTCCTATTATTCGGTTGTATTTTAATTCCTAAGTCAGCTAAAAAGTTCATCTCACCTACTTTCCCATTCTGTATCAGACACTAAAAACCCTCAGTTCCTCCATTTTTGCTTTGCAAAAACGTGTAAGTCTCAGAATTTCTGTGCTTTTTCCTGTCTTGGGTCCTTGGTTTATCACACTCCTAAGGCATAAAGATTGGAAACTGTTGTGTAGGAACATCTAAATATGCGTAACTCTGGGTCTCACACAAGCGCTGAGTCTGGGGATGGAGTTCTACATAGATGAGGCCACAGAAGTTTAAACAGCTCATTTGTGTTATCAAATTTAGGATGGCTCGAACCATGGAACCACTGACAAGGAAGATCTTTAAAGGAGTTTTAGCTGCTGAACTTGTGGGTGTTTTTGGAGCTTATTTGTTGTTTAAAAAGATGAACTCGAGCCAAGGTAAACACAGTTCAGTAGTTAATATTTTCTAGCTGGGTATGTTGTAAATGCTAGTTGTATTTCTGGGCAAAACGTTTCTTCAGATTGAATCCATTAGACATTTTTATGGGTAGGGCAAGGTGTTCATTATTGTAGAGTAAGTGACTCACGTCTGACTTGCAGACCAGCAGCCTGGGTTTTACTAGGGACCAGTAGAACAGTTGTTCCTGCTCTGGCTCAGAACTGAAAAGCCCTGCAGAATTGAATGGGAGTAACTTGGTCTGCATTATACTCACTTGTTCAGTATTCCTGGGAAGAGCTAACACTAACCTCAGCTCACTGAACCGCTTCTCAGAACTATCAGTAGGCAGTGAAACCATTTCCCTGTTGCTGAACACAGTGTAATACTTTATTAAATTTTATATTACAGCTCTCAGCTTTTAAGATTAGCAATTCCTACTAGTTGCTTTTCCAACTAAAGTAGGAAACAGCCCTGGGGCAGTGGCTTGTCATTTGTCTTCCTCAAATACTTCATTAGGACACTGTTCCCAGGTGCTGCTGGGTGTTCATAATCTTTAAAGGAAACAGAGGATAAGACTGCATTTTCAGATGAATGTAATTTATATCCTACCTACAAGATTTAGTTCTTAGATTAGGGACCATAATACAAAACTCTAATAGTAATAGACATTAATATACTAAATTGTGGCTCAATATGTTAACATGATTTTTTAATATCAGATTTCAGGCAAACAATGAGCAAGACATTTCCCTTTATTTTGGAAGGTATGTTTTTCTTCAAGTAAAAATTCAAGTGCAAAATGGCCTATAAAAGCTGCAGTATTTTTACAGTTCAGGACTAAATGACTTTTGTTACCAGTTTCCAACACTAGTTGCTTCCTGAGGGCACAGTAAGTACTCCTGATTACTTAGATGAGATCTGTTAGCACTTGGTTTAATTCTTATTACTACTTCTTCTGTTGACCAAACCCCAGGCTTTACAAATGCTGGGGAAGATGTCTATCACTGAATTATTCGCTTCACCCTGCAAGCGGGAGCCTTAATTTTTTCAGTGGTTAAGAGCACAGATTCCAGAAAAAGATGTAAGGTGGTGATGGACACAACCATGGCTTAGATCACTGTTGTGAAAGACTTTCTCAGGAATACTGCTTCTGCTAATGCCTACCTCATGACAGTTGAGGGTTGAACAAGCCGACATCACACTTAACCTAAGCAGAGCACCCAGCAGGTGCCCTAACAAACAGTTCACTGTTAGGAACTTGTGCTTGAATACAGAGCCCTGCTGTCCTTTCCATATTTGAATGTAGCAATGTGGGAGAATTTTTTCAATGTAGGCTTAACTTTTGCATGATTTTATAAATGACACCATTTTGTTTCTACAGTTTATTACAAATCCATTGAAAAGTCTGGAATATATGGAGTTAGAGAGAAAGATCAAGTAAAGTGGTTGGATAGCAAAAATTAAGGGTGAGTAGAATCTTAACTTATTATTCACTCTGAAGCGCTCATTTCCTTTGCCTTCTGGATTTTTGAGGGATTCTCATCTTCTTTTTGAAATTTTTCTTTTTCTTGATGATACTTTTCACATCTCTGTTGTGTAGCCAATCATCACGCTCAGCTTCCCACTTGAGTTGTTTGAAACCTTGGAGGGAGAAGGAAGATGAGTCTATGCCACCGTAGACTGACCCACAAAGTCCTCCTGAGTGGAACTGAAACCAGGCCGCGTGGCCTGTGCTCGCCACCCACTGTTGGTTGCTCTCCGTTTCTTTTCTTTTGTTTTTATCGAGACAGGGTTTCTCTGTGTAGGTTTGGAGCCTTTCCTGTCACTTGCTCTGTAGACCAGGCTAGCCTCAAACTCAGAGATCTGCCTGCCTCCCGAGTGCTGGGATTAAAGGCGTGCCAATGCCCGGCTATTTTCTTAGATGAGTATTTTAGAAACGAAAGAATACCGAAGGATTTATACTGAAAAGATTTTTCTATTTTTATGAAAGAATAGAAACTAATAACATTGGAAATACTTAAAAAGGTCTTCAAATATACAAGAATAAATGCTTAGCCAAGTCAAAGTAAAACAGACTAATTCTCCAAGGAAAAAAATTGAGTCTATAGTTAGTGTGGTTTAATGTCGTACTCTGTGACAAGCTAGTTTTCTGCCGTTTAAGGATATCTATAAGGAGATACCATTTAAAAAACTTGACTGACAAATTCCAGGTGACCTGGTAGTGCATACTTGTAGTCCTATTGTTTGGGAGGTGGAGGGTGAATATCTCAAGGCTAGCCTGGGCTACATAGTAAGTTTAAGAAAGAAGTCTAGGTTACACAAGACCCCATTGGGGGAAAAACCAATTTACTTACTTGCATTATCTTTGTTAGCCATGGCGTTCATGCCAATATTATCAAACTTGGATCCCATGTTTTCATCCAACAGATGGCCAAACTTAAAAGAAAAAAAAAAGGAAGGGTGAGGAAGGCTATGAGAACTCACAAGAGGGTACCCTCTTAAGCAGGCGCGTGCGTTACCTCCTCAGCAGAGACAAACAGGCTGGAGTCATCAAAGCTTTTCCTTTTCTTCTGTGCTCCTAAAACAAACATTATGTGTGGGTTAATTAAAGTGTGTGCCTGTTTTCCAGATTTGGTTGCTGTTCAGAATTTATCCTCACAAGAAACCAACAGTATTTCTCAGGATCAAAATTCCACAGCTGACATGGAGTTTGTAATATGTGAAGCAAAATATAACTTATATAAATCAGGTCTTACTCTTTGGACTTGAAAAAGCTGACTGAAGTGTGTTTATTGTGTTATCAATGAACTTTTGTCCATGCTACTGTAACCTCACCCATGGTTCTGAATCTAAACATTTCAAGAGAGCTACAGTGGTAGGAATGGTCAGAGCTCACGCCACTGGACTCTAACAATGACCGAAAGGTCATCTGCAGAGACTTAGATGTGAGAGGAAGGGACTTGGAGCAAAACCAAGGAAGCACGTGAGAAAGTCTTTCATGTAAAAACCCTATTATCCACCTTTCCTGGCTGGGGAGGCGGTTTAATCGGCACACTGGCCTTCTAAGTGTGAGGGTTGGGTCCAGGTCTCCAGAGCCCTGTAAGCACCTAGTGCAGTGGCCGGAGTTCCCGAGATGATGAGACAGGAGGCAGAGCCAGGTAGGTGCCTGGATCTCATGGAGCAGCCAGCCTGGCCTGCGTGGTGAAATTCCAAACCCACGAGAGACCCTTGTCTCAAACACAAGGTGGAAGGTGCCTGAGGACTCACACTTTAAGAAACAAAAACTTTAAATGGTGTCAAACCAACTTCTAAACATGTATTTTCCAAAATAATAACCTGTGATATGTTTGAGGTGGCAGCTGCTAGGGTTTGAAGATATTAGATGCATTTTCTTACCTTGAAACGACCCAGCAAAGTCAATATTATCTTCACTCTTTCTCTTGCTTTTCTTAGTACTGGCTTTGGAGCTGATGTCCTCAAATTCTATTACTCAAAAAAGTTTATTATTAAGCCACTTTAAAAACAAGCCTGGAAAATACCAATTCAGTGTATGCTACAATCTCATGCAACTGAAAGTCTGTTATGTCTGTTCCAAGTGGGTCACAGTCCTGTAATTGCAACAGAATCGGCCTGGAGGATACAGGACGCTGCATCCTCTTGAGAGTACCTGGTTTAGTCTGCAAGAATAGAATTTACTCAGTGACCACTAATAGAGCCAAATACTAACACCTACATACATAAGAAACATCTGCTGCTAAAGCCCAACAGACGCAAGAGGCACAGCAGCTGCACACTAGAGGTAGTGAGAGGACGAGAGAGGCGAGCTAGACACAGTTCAAACTCAGCTGTGGCCATTCATCTTGTCTGCCTGCGCTACAGGACTACACAGACATTGACTTTTTGGTGGGTAAGAAGCTCATCACTCGTGCTCTTCTTTGGTAGAGCTGAGAGGACCTCATGCATACTGGGAAGCACTCTGTTAATGAGCAACACCACCAGCCCCTTACACTAATATTAAAGACAGGCAACATGACAGTTCAACTCAATAGAATGACAGTGTTGATTAAAATTAAAGTCCAACACCAACATATGGGTAGCCCTGGCTATTCTGGAATTAGCTCTGCAGACAGGTTAGCCTCGAACTCAGAGATCTGCCTACCCCTGCTGGGATTATAGGTGTGTGCCACCACATCTGGTGGTTTATGTATTTTTAAATGTGTACCTGGGCCATCTTCAGTTTCATCGTCTGACACATCCATGAAGGTTCCTCCATCTTCATCAATGTCAAAGTCTTCATCATTCATACTTCCTAAAGAAACTTCATCATCATCCAGGTCACCAAGTTCATCATCACTACTCTCTGAATCTTCCAAATTTTCCTTAGCTTCTTTTGTTTTTTTCATATTGCTGGAAAACAAACACATTCCCAACTAGTAAAGGAAGGCAGTGGTTTCTAAAGTGTGCTCGGGAAGACTAAGATACACCGTTAAACTATGTAAAAGAATTGCAGACTGTTCAAAGCATTCTAAAAGTCCTAAGTAAAAGTCCCAAGTCCTTGTGATCACGTAGTTTATACGGTCTCCTGGTACGTAATTTGGGAAATACTGGGAAAATGGGCAAGAGAAGGTTGAGTTTTACCTGGCAAAATCAAGATCATCCTTCCCAGGTGCGAAGCAGTTATCATCTTCAAATGTGTCTGCCCAAGAACAACACACAAAGGATAAGAGCTAGCAAAGGACAGGAGCGATACACTATACCCCATCAAATGTAAGGCAGAACAGGTTCATAGCAGCAGAGTGTTGTCACTAGGACAACTCCTGGTGTGTCTTACACAGACCTGTAAGCTCCATGAAATCTCTACAACGAACAACAACTACTTCAGTGTTTATGTTTTACTAAGCGTAGGATGTAACAGTGACATCAATTTCATGTATTGTTTCATTTGATTACATTTCAATTAAAAATTCCCAAGCTCTATGAATTATGAAGATGAAATCAAATAGCAGACCATTGCTACTAACAGAAAATAGGAGATTATGAACAATAAGCAGTCTCTGTCCCATCAGAGACTTGGTCTTAGGAATGAAACACTTTTCTTGTAAACAGAATTTTCTTACACATTGTTCAAAGCAGAATAATGTATTTTCCTAGAACAAATACGAACAAGTTACTACATGCTATCTTTCAATCTTCCACTATAATCTGTGGACCAAAAACTAAATTCATCCTAGTAACAGTAATAGCTTTACAAATTGAGCCAACAAAAATCAAATTACCAATCATATTTTCAAATTCTTCATCATCAACATCTTCTATGCTATCTTCATCTTCATTGCGTTTCTGTTTCTCTTTAACAACAGCAACTTTCTTATAATACCTAAAATAAAACATATTACGTATTTGTATAATTTATGACTAGGGATAAATTATAACTCTGAAAGTGTTATTGGATGCTCAAATGAGTAAAATTTGTATTTAATATAAAAAACAACCCACAAACAATAAAATAATTGATAGTAAAAGGTTGGTTCAACCTCAACACTATTATCCATGTATGAGAATATAGTGGTTTTATATGATCTCAAATCATAACACCTAAAATCACAGTAAAACTTTCTGCAGATGGCATCACACCCACAAAGTTATTCACTGTAAGTTTAAAAAAAAAAAAGCCATTTAAATTAAATCTTGTTAATTAGTCAACCAGATACTCATAGCATCCATAGGAATTTTTGAGCTCCCTACAGCTTCACAGTGAACTTCATTAACTCTGCTTGAAGAGTCATGGTCTAAACAAGTTATTTCTGAGTTACTACTATATTAAACACAGATAAAGACTACAAAAGAATTATTACTTAATAAAAGAAATAATTCAGGCATGGTAGCACATGCTAATAACCCTTAAATCTGGAAGGTGGATCACAAGTTGAAGACCAGCTTGGGCAATATACAGTTTCCAAAGAAACAAAAGCCTAAAGTTCCACTGAGACTCAGAAACCAAAATTTACATACTACATTATTAAAATCCTCAAGCTGACAAATTTCACTAAAATACTGAAAGCAGAATTAGTAATTTAAATTTCCTTCAAAAGAGAAATAGATACATAATTTGATCTTTTCAAAATAGTCTAATATCAACGAAGTGTATCAAATATAAACATTTGGACAGTCCCCAAGGACTAAGTATCTTACCTGTAGAAAAACACTTCATCCACTGGAATCTGGCTTTCTTCTTTTGCAAGGAATTCTTTACTATTCACTGTAGAAACGAAGCATTTTATTATGACCACTTCCCTGTGCCACTCAAGCTCTTGGACTATATCTAGCACACTGGCAGCTCTGAAACCTGAAAGACAACGCTAGAAAGCGGCCCAGCAGTGCGAAGGCATGTCTGCAAGTGTGTGGACTGTCTGTAGAGAAGAGCAGACAGGACATAAGCACAGTGGAGGAATGGGTTCTCTTACTGTTCTCCAACTGCACTTTAGCAAAGTTTCAAGAGAAACAGAAATTATTTGAAAGATTTATTTATAGGTATGTGTGCGGGCATGGGCATGATTGCAGGTATCTGCAGTAGCCACAGTGTTGGATTCCCCCGGAACTTAAGTTACAGGTGGTTGTGAGACATTCAGTGTGGGTGCTGAGAATCAAACCTGTCCTCTCCCAGAGCAGAGTGTTCTTAACCACTGAAGGCCTCAAGGAGTGAGTCCTTCTCAAGTTGCTAACCCCAACCCTACTTCTTGTTTTGTTTTTCAGACAGGGACTTTTGTAGCTCAGGCTGGCCTTAAACTTAGTGTAGTAACGAGGATGACCTCAACTCCTGATCCTCCTATCTCTACCACTCATACATAGGATTACGGCATTATCTGGTTGTCTCAGAAGAAAAGTACAATAAGGTTTGTAATTTTAAAAACAGGAAATCATCACCAACAGAACTTTTCATAATTTTACTTATTCCTGAGGAAACAAAGAATTCAAGGATATCAGCTTTTCTTCTATAGAACTAAAATTTCTGACTTGATTTAAAGATTTGGCTTACAATTCTAATTACCCGAGTAATCCTGTTGACATTTCTGGATTTTTGGGAGGCTGGGTGGAGATAACTACAACTTCTAACTTAATTCTGATTTCTGAGCATAATGAAGCTGGGCCATGGCATGTGAAGAGATATCATCTCTGAACAAAGAGGACGCTGCCTACACGACAACACTGATGTGTGAAGAAGTCAGCTGTGCATTTTTCTTTTCCTCAGCCAGAAGTGGAAGAGGCTGGGATGGCTCAACTGCTAAGGCTGGGAACGTGGGAACGGCTGCCAGAGGCTCCTAATCTTATTACCTTGGATAGCCTTAAATTTTATTACGATAAAGTGGGCCAAAGAATACGATTTGTTTTGCACTGTCTTTTGCTATCCTTTTGTTTTCAACCGCCCAGGCTGTACTTACCAGC